CTGAATACCATTTTCATCAGAAATCTGTTGGCTGTGAGAATGCAAGGGAGATTTGATAAGATTCCACCCTGTGGTGTGCTCCCGTGAACATTTTGTGTCTCTTTAATAAACCAAATATAACACAGAAGATGTTCACAGCAGGTTGTGTAGCGCTGTGTCTACAGATTTGCCCTTTATGTAACATCCAATGCCTTGAAGAGTAGACTCTTGTCAACAGTTTTCTTGTCGTGAACATCCACCAGGTGCTTCAATGCTTTTAGGAGAAATGATGTTATATGGATTGGGAAATAGTTCTTAAGGTCTAGATGCGCTGTTTTGGGTACAGAAAGCTGTACGCCATGAATGCCTATAAGCGAAAGAGAGTTCTCGTGAAGCTTCCTTCCTCTCTCCGGGTGATTTCATAGCTGGGAAATTTTCATTTGAGTCCGGTGATTTAAAATCTCAAATGGTCTCTGTTATACTTAACTGATGCCACTACACTGTCGGTCAGTGCTGTATTTTATTATTAGATTAGCAATACATGTAAAATAGTTGGTTAACGGTATTACGATCTTCAACCAATCTTAATAAACAATTTCCGCGCTTACAGTAAATCTCAATTTTTGACACAACACATAAAAAATGAAATATCTTTTTCCTCCCCTATTCCAAGTCAACTAACTTTTAACTGATTCCTGTTTAATGCACAAATTATTTATGTGCAACGTTTTCTAATACCGTTACGCGTGATAGCAAACCCATTCAAAAGCAAACGCCAAAAGGCGAACAACTATCTACTCACTCCACTCTCTCTCTCTCTCTCTCCCCACTATTCTCTTTCGAAAATGCGGCGGCAGCAATTTTTTCCGCTTTGAAAAGTATAAAAACTAAAAAAATGCCAAAAAAAAACTTTAATTCACGCAACGTTGAACGATTTGAAGGGGAGATTTGTATTGGAAATTGGCTTACTTAAAGGACGCAAGAATGTGCAAGGATATGCATAAGTACTATACAAAAGGAAGCGAGGGCTGGCTGGTGTGTGTGTGTGTGTAGATGTGTGCGCTTATGCTGGCACATAAAATGGCTTACTTAAAACTGGACTGTCAGCTCAATGTGTACTGAATTATGACAGGTCAAGGATTGCATAGCAAACAAATGGAGACATTACGCAATGAAGGCGTGGGGGGGGCGAGCCCACATGCACAGTAGATGATGAGTAGCGGACAAACAATGGCGGTTTTGGTGAGTGCAAACATCAATGATATTCAACCGCACGGAGAGTGTTGGTGCAACGGTTTGCAAAGTGTTTATTAGAATGCTTTGTTCGGCATCTTTATTCCACACACAACCACACACACACACACACACACACACAAATATATGAATATCCTTCATATTGCCAAATGGACAGTTGCATTTCGGCGATACTCATGTAAACCCTAATCCAATCATCCAATGTTTTATGCATATTTGTTGGTGTAGTTGTTGCCCTCGCACTTATAAATACATATGTATGTATGTATGCATGTGCTTATCGAGCCCTCGGTCTGCGCGCAAGCAAATAAACAAATATTACAAATGTTAGCAGTAACAAGTTTACTACACTTTCGTTAAGAATATGACAAGCTGATACTTTACTTTCCACTTTCGCATTTCATTTTACGCGTTTCTCTAAATGTGCGCAGCAGCTTTGCCACTTAACAGTTGAATACGCAAATAGTCGAAAAGATTTCCCCAAAGTGCACTTGTTTTTGTTGTTTTTATTTTTTCTCTTTTCTTTTCTCTTTCTGTTTGAGTTGGTAATTTTTCTCAGCAGTCACAGAAATTCAAAAAGTTTCACATTTTTAAATGGAAATACTTTTGGTCTGCATGTAAGTACATAGTACATACAGAAGTACGTGGGCGATATGGCTCCCCTCATTTTTTTCCGTGTGTGTAATGTTGCCATATCTGCGTGGTGCACATTTAAATTGCTGATGAAAGAATTTAATGCATGCAATATTTCCAATGCAAATAAGTCAAAAAAGCAAGTGGAAAATTTTTTGAAGATATCAGCATATTTTTTTAAGAGAAAATTCAATATTTCTTGCTCTTCTGTATGCAAATATAACGAGTTTTGTAACTGTAACTTAAATTAGATTTTTTTACGGCGACAAACCCAGCGTTATCCACCTAACGTCGACCGAGTGGCGGATCTAAAGGGTAAAAGAAAACTTCAACAAACCAGTAACCGAAAATCAGCGGCAATCCGGACTGCATTGAACGTGAGACTGATCTCAGAAGATCACGTTTACACTTGCTTCTTACACTGAACAGATCGCAGTATATAAGAGAGAATTAACAGCAGTTCGGCAAGTTGACCTGAAAAAAAAATCAGTTTGTACTTATTCGTAATCTTTGTTCTGTTTTATCTTCTCTACATAAACACAATTGGTTTCAATGCATTTATTAGACCTTCTGATCCACTTCTGAAAGCAGTCTTCAGAATCTTGCTTTTTAAGCTTATCCAGTTCAGCATTAGTCGCATTAATTATCTCCTCGCTGCTATTCAATCCTTTCCTACTAAATTTTTTTATTTAAATTTTGGAAATAACCTGAAATCACAAGGTTCTACAACCGTTATTTTAGCAGTTTGGGCTGGCGCGTCGTCATGTTCTCAAAAGTAGCGCCACAAATCCTCTTTCTTTCTGTTTTCCAACAAATTTTTTAAAGCTTTTGGTAAACACTCTTCGTGGTGCCCTTTTGCAGTTACCGTTTGACCCTTTTCCAGTCATCCAGTGGAAAGCAGCTTCGATTTTGGATCGGGTGAAGTAAATGATGTAAGTTTGCTGTTGATTTTTATTGCTTAGATTTTACGCTTGGGTTTGCTTGTGTTGGGTTCCAAACCATGAACTGTTGGTTGGTTTCTGGATCGTACTTATAGAACCAATATTCGTCACCTGTAACGACTTTTCTAAAGTTACCAGACTGACCATTTGCGGATCTAAAGGGTAAGCGAATTCGAATTTGTTTTGAAAAAATTGAGCAAAATGCACTTGAGCCTGTTTTTGGGCTTCTTTTTGGGCCTCATTTAAAATTCGTGGTAGCCATCGAGCAGATTTCTTCATGTATCATAGATGATTATTTAATATTCGTGATACTGCCATGACATTTACGTCCAATTCAATCATTTCTTGTGTCAATCGTCGAATTCAATCAGCTCTTGTGTCAATCGTGGGTTTTCGACAATTTTGGACTTCACCAGAGCTGCAGTGGAGTCATCAGTGTGGAAGATTTTGGCCAACCTTCTCGAGGTTCGTCCTCTACGAAAAACTTACCGTTCCGAAATCTTCGGAACCTTTTCGGAATAGTCTTCAAAGGCGGTGCAATCAGTCCATATGCAATTTGACATTCACTGAATATTTGTGTTGGCTGTAAATTACGTCGAAACCCGAGGAGAAGCAAATAGCGAATTTTTGTTTGCGTTGGTGGTGGAATTTCATCTGACCTACCCTCAGCTATCTTGCGTTTTCTCATCTCTATTTTAGAAGATCGTTCTAAAATTTGTAAGGAACACTAATAAAGTGGTTGCCAAGGATTTGGTATTTTTAGATTTAACAAAAACAAATTGAAAGTCACCAATTGATCGAACTTTTCTTAATCCCCTCGTATCTTTTTTGACACTAGCAAGGGTTATGCTTTTCAAAGTTTTTTTGCATATATAAAATGAAAATATCTAGAGAGTCCTAAGGTCATGCTAATGTTAAGCCCACTTAGTAGGAATGACTAACTCATGAGCTCAATTTAGTTAAAAATATAACTCTCTCTCTCTGTCTAATAATGCTTTTGGAGTAAACCCATGAGTTGAGTTGAATTGAGTGAATGCAGCTGTTGTTCAGTGACCAAGGCTAATGAACCAATGGGCCCATTATGATCGAGCTATGAGGCTCTATCATCATCTTCTCAAATATTCGAAAAATTTCGCGTTCCCCAAGGAACCCGTGTTGCACAGATGTGAGGGCTCGACAGTGACAGAGATCAAAAGCCAGTTTTCGCATATACTCTGCCATGGGCAAAGGTAAACATGCAGCGTATCCATGTTTTATTGTGAATAGAGTAGTGTCTCCTATCGCTGGTTCATCTGCCTTGCAATTGCTTGGAATGTCGCTGTGTTCGGGTACTCATTCCACGGCAGTATTATATTAAGTTGAGAGTTTTTCCTGATTGCTGCTGCATTTTATAGTCACTTTTGATGTGGTATTGTTACACTGTAAAAATTTAATGGCAGCTTGACAGTCCGATTGTGCTGCCATTGATTTAAGCAAGCACTCAGCAGCTTTCATGATTGCAAAGAGTTCTGCTTGAAAAGTGTCGCAGTGGTCTGGTAATATTATTGAGAGCATCGGAGAGTGGATTCTACAACCCAATTTTTCATCGTTCATTTGAGCGTCGTATTCTCTTATGATGTAACAACACCTCTTTCTATGCGGCTGAGAGTGTTTATATGGGTGTTTTCAGGGCACCATTTCCTATTGGTAAGACCAAGTAGACAAAGGTTCTAATCGTCAGACTTTCAAATCCGACCAAAGCGCGTTTGGAATCCGAAGTGTAGAATTTCTCAAGTTCTCACGTCCTAATAATCTCCCTGTTTAAGTCACAGAAAGGTTCACGTGTTTCAAGTCACAGATGCCACCAGTCGCGTCACAATATGCGATCTTTTTTGTTTCACTCACTTTGAAGTCAAAACGCCGAAGAAATCTATTTGGAATGTTTACTACTTTGACCAACTTCACTTGTAAGCCAACCCAGCTGTAGTATTTTTTGAACATGGGTTTTCATTTTACTACTAGAGACCTAGATAACCGGGTATAGAGCACAGCGAAGAGCTCGATACTCGTTCGTTGCTCAACTACTCAAATTTTTTGTTTGAAATTTTTGTTAGTATTTCAATGAGTTTTACACTTTGCACAGATGAAATTTAAATTATAGTAAAAAGTTTTGAGAAAAATATCAAATTTTTTTTGTTCAAAATGCAACAAAAATTCGTTAAGGTAGTTTCGCTTCGAAATTTTTGACACTAAACGTATTTGCTCCAAATTGTCTGAGGTCTGATGATCTATCCAGATGGGGAACAGTCACAGCACCTGTAAATTTTGCATATGATGTAAGCATACTTCTTTCCTCGGCGAAGTATTTGTTAAGTCCAGCTTTCAGAAGGACCAGATGGGCCAATGGCAGAGTGCAAAGTGAAACCAGGTACATTAGATCGAAGTGAACAGAATTAAGTATTTACTCTTTCTAAACAGGACCTCCATATGCATAACAGCCGGCATACTAACGAATTTTACCGTAGCTGAAAGACATAAATCAGGAGGAAGTGGTGTAATATTAGCTCAGCCATAGCTCAGCATTGAGTGCGGTCCGCTAATGTTATCACGGAAATTTCTTCTTTGATATTCTTGCATATTTTGCATCCTGGGTGATAGGATTCTTCTTCGCAGTACCAACATAGGTATTACCACGGGTCAGTAGACCTAAGGACGCAAAGCATGCTTGAGAATGCATGAAAAAGCTCATATTTCCAGAAAAATTTTCGAGCAAAGAGCCTGCTTTATTGTGTGTACTCGTTGCTCATTCCAAACATGGTATTAATATTTATAAAAAACTTTGCTATCTCTCTTCTATTTTAGGAAGGAAGTTAAAAGTAACAAATCTAATTTTCTACACTTCTAGCATTCAAATGCAAAAAACTGCATATAACAGTAATTATTTTACAAATATACCGTTGTGTAGTATTATTTGTTCCAATTATTGTCTAAAACTCGTTCACGCATCGAGAGTATTGAGTGACATAGAACCGTTATATGCCTCCGTGGCGCAATTGGCTAGCGCGTTCGGCTGTTAACCGAAAGGTTGGTGGTTCGAGCCCACCCGGGGGCGGAATGATATTTTATAAAGACGAAAATAAAACGATGTAAATCTGTTTCAGATTAATGGAACTTTCGGGGGAAAGGAGCGAAGTTATCTGACCTTTATTGACCCAAGCGTTTTTACAGCTAACTCAATAATTTGTCCAACAACTGAGCTGAGCTGCTGAAAGCAAAAAAATTTAAATTTTTTATTGTCAAAATTTATTTGGGATTTCAATATTTTTATCATCTCGCAGAATTAAATTCAAAATTAAAAAGAGTGCTGAGAAAAACCAAGAAAGAAACTGTGATATGGGTTTTGTCAAAAGCTAAGATGAACTCAGCCGATCCAGAGTGGAGTGAAGATCCCACTTGGGCGGACAGAAGATTTCTGTATTCGAAAGTTTCGGTCCCATGAGACCTGTACTAGCTTAGAAACAGAGAATATGGGGATAGCAGGTAGCGGTAGTTATTGCAGAGAGCTCACACTGCGGACAGCAGTCAGTGCATTAATAGCACGGCGGTATACAAAAGTCGGTTCAGCAGAAAACTTCAGAAACAGCAGCCTAAAGAGACTAACAAGACTGTACAGACATCGTTGTTGTGGTAGATTCACATTACATATGTACATAATTAACGGCTGGAATTCTTCTGAACTAAACCGTGAAGGGCAAAAGATGTAGGAGCAAAAGAGAGCTCTGAGCCGGCGCATAGCTTAGCTGGGCGAGCCGACTTATCGGTCACATTTTGCTCAACTTGATGTTAAACTTTTTCTACTTGGTGTGAGGTCCAGACTCTTGCGAATGCTTACCGATGTGTGTGGTCTGGCGTTGCCATTATGAAACCTAATTCTCCTTCTGCTGGCCAATGCTGTGTGCTTCTGGAAGATTACTTCATTTAGACGGTCCAATTACTGACAATACAGAAGTAGAAGAAGAAGAGCAGCTCGTGTTGGAAGATTCCTTGCCAATCCCTCCCAAAACAGGACAAAGCTTGTTGACTCTTAAAGTATCAAGACCATAAATACTACTCAAATTTTCAGCTGCCTAACTTGTTTTTTCGCATTTATCGAAGAAAAAAAAATCATTTAAAAAGCCACTTCCAATAAAATGGTAATTATATAATTGATTAAAGTTTATTTTAAAATTCAAAAAAATGTATTTATACTATTTTAAAAAATCGCCGGTTTCTTTTGTGGCAACCCGATAGAAAATATCTGAAAGAGTGCAAATAGCTGTAAAAATTGGATGACTTCTGCATTTATGCTGAGGTAAAGGTTGTCAAATATCACTTCCGCATTTTTGCTCTTCATTCAATGGTTTATAAAAAATGTTACAGTGATCGGATTTAGTTAAAATATGCGCCGTTTTGTTCGATGATCTGTTTCCATCTAGACGGCAACTTCATAATACCTTCCTCGTAGAAGCCCCCCTCTTTATTTGCGAAGAATTCGGACATGCCACTTTTCACAAGCCTCTTTTGAGGTCAACTTCACACCACCAAAGGCATTCGCCATGGACAGGAACAGGTGGTAATCACTTGGCGAAGTGTGTGGTCTGGCGTTGTCATGGTGGAACACTACACCCTTCCTGTTGGCCAATTCGGGACGCTTCTGGTCGATCGCCTGCTTCAAGCGGTCCAGTTGTTCGCAGTAGATGGTAGAATTAAGCGTCTGGCCATATGGGAGCAGTTAATAGTGGATGATTCCCTTCCAATCCCACCAAACACACAGCAAAACCTTCCTGGCCGTCAATCCCGGCTTGGCCACTGCTTGGGACGATTCACCGGCCTTCGACCACGACCGTTTTCGCTTGATATTGTCGTGTGTGATCCATTTTTCGTTGCCAGTCACCATCCGCTTCAAGAATGGGTCGAGTTCGTTCTGTTTCAGCAGCATATCGCAGTCGTTGATTCGGTCCAGAAGGTTTTTTTGCGTCAAATTATGCGGCACCCAAACATCAAACTTTTTTTTGTATCCAGCCTTTTGCAGATGGTTCAAAATGGTTTGGTGACTAACTCCCATCTCCTGGGCGATGTCACGAGATGCCATATGCCGGTCTAACTCGATGTATTCCATGATTTGATCGGTATTTGTCACAGGTCACAGGTCTTCCGCCGGCTGGCTTATCCATGGTGTCGTTTTCACCGGCTCTGAATCGTCGAAAACATTCCTCCGCGGCTCGAAGTGATAGAGTACCATCCCCCAAAACACCAATAATCTCACGAAACGTTTCTCTAGCGGATTTGCCTTTAACGAAGGAAAACTTTAAAATAGCGCGAATTTCGGCGTTAGTGAACACCATGTTTACACGTCTATAACTGTTGAACGCAATATCCAAACTAATCATGCATAGCGTTGTTTTGTAGGTTATGTCAAGACCTTTCAAATTATGTATAGTGTTGCCAGATACGAGCTCTGTAGCGCTTTGTACATACCCGCGAAATTCAAGGGACAAAAACGCGGAGGGGAGATATTTGACAACCTATATTTCAGCCTCATTATACCCAGGAATGTAGCTTTTACGCCAATTTTCGAACTCTTTTTGTTCCGGATGATCAGGCAAATCGCCTTCAGCTCGTATGACTCTAAAGAAATTTTCAATTGCATCCTAGTTTAAGTGATTTTATCCTTTTTCTTGGCGACAGTTGACAGCAGATTTGTGCGCCGAATTTTGAATTGACCGGAAATGTAAATGCAGTTTACCCCCAGATACCGTTTTTTATACTTAATTTTACAACAAAACACTGAACACTTCATTTTCTATTTTTTGCTTTATTATGGAATTAAAAATGTAACGAAAGCAAAGCAATCAGCTGATTATCAAAATTTTGTTACAGCGAAGGCGCAACCTAAGAGTTGTTCAAAATGCTCAAAATGGTGCGAGAAATGCTCGTGTTTGTACTCGAAAATAATCACTGAAGAGAAGTGAGCAACTTCTAAGGCTCTAAAATATTCAAAAAAAGACACTTGAGCTATTTTTCTACATTTCTTCATTATTTGTACTGTGGCAAACTGAAAAAATAGTCTTACTTCCCAATTATTTTCAATTTTCGATTTATTTTCTCCTTCGGTAATTCGCCATAAATTAATTTAAATGTTGCCATTTATGTACAACCATAATTTTTCGCATGAAAAAACACTCAATTAACCTTTAACTAAAGGTTAGAAAGCTTCAATTTAATTGCTTGTAACGCGCTGTGCCCAAAAGAGGGAGCGAAAACACAGAAATGAAACGTGAAAAACAGGATAAATAAATTTAATAACTTTGAATGTGAAATAATCAATGAAGGAAGAAGAAATATGTAAGGAAGGAAGGAAGCACTCATTCATAACTAATTTGACTGCATTGCATTTGCAACCGAAGGAAAGTAAATTTTAGATTTTTTTCTTTCTTCCACACACAGCCAAACTTTCCCCTTCGCATGCACGCAGTCAAGCAAATATTGCGTTAAGGAACAAGCAAAAAAGCAAAAGATAAGAATTGAAAATATTCAAAAGGGAAAATTGCGCGTAAGATGTTTAATGACTTGTTTACTGCTGCCATTACATTACCCAACAACGACGACGCCCAGCGCAGTGCAGACCCGAGCTTCGTAATAAAGTTCTAAATAAGACCAGATAGACGCGGCGAGATAAACGCGTTCTCTTGTAGACGTCATTGCACGCATCCATCACCTTAGACAAGCAATTTCGCCTTGGTTGAGGTCCTCGGTAAAATACATACACTGTGTACGTACAAAAGCTTATAACAGTAATAGCTTGCAGTTGGCTTGAGTTGTCTTTGCAAAGGACACTTGCGCCACCCGCTTTCAGCAATTGTCATTCCAGCTACAAATTACAACAACTTTATACGCATTACCAATATTTTATGCAGTCATTTCTTCATTCCTTATGCCCCCTCTCTTTCTTCTCTTGCTGCAACGTCAACGAGCTAACTGTATTTATTAGCCAAAGAACAGGATATCCAGTTGGAATTAATTTGTTGACTTTTACTGCTGCTAAATGACGAATTGCTATTGCGTTGTTGCAATTTATTTGTGATTTTTCAAACGTGCCACGAGCGGGCGATGTCCTTCAACGTTGGAGGTGACAAAGACTATGTGTCCTTTGTCGTCAAAAGAGAGTGAGACAATGAAAGTCAATGAAAGCCAAGGCTGTGCGGTGAGCAACGAACCAATTTTAAACAAAATAAGCATAAGTAAGCAACAGGTTAACCTGAAGATTTCTTTTTAAAGTAGAAAATTTTCCTAATAGGAAGCGACTGTTTAAAATTCAGGTCACATCGACATCAATTGGAGACACCAAGAGATCCCATGTCCTTTTTCACCTGATCTTTCCAATGAAGTAGAGGTCTTTCTCTTCCTCTGTCTCCACCAGCGAGTACTAGCCAGCGTAGCTGAAATATCTCAAGGTCACCGTATATTTTATATACTGTTTTCGTCCCCACTAATACTCAAGAGCCCATAAATCGTTCACTAAACTAGTCTCTCAAATACTTCTAGCGGAGACTCGTCATTGTAAAACACGAGATGAGGTTGAATATATCACATGAAACGGGCCGCGGGGTCCTTCCCAATTCTGACAAAACTTTTGGTTTTACTTAATGTCAGATAAGTTTTGCGGTGATACCAAACTCAGACATAGATTTAGCTTTTTATCATGTTATTGAAGGCAGCTTTTAGATCGTCGAAGAGGTATCGTTCCTCTTTTCACGAGACTTTAGCAGCTTTTGGTTCGATGCAAATTTCTGGTCTATTATGAATTCATAAGGTCTAAACCACACTCATAAAGTCCAATAAGTCGTTTGACGCTGGACTTTAGTCTTTCGATAGAACCGTATATGCGATATTGAGGGGACCATTCTCAAGATAATCGGTACAGTTTCCGGGCTGACTTTCATTCTGGATTGAAGAACACAGAAGCATAGAGAAGAGCATAGTGAATAGTCGGGCATGCTTTCATTCGAGCATATTCTGCAATGTCGGTTTTGGCAACCATGCATGAATAGCCATTGGCTCTCTTCAGGCGAGCAATCTTTTCGAACTTTGTCATGGTACGTCTATACCATCGGTATTTCGAGGGCGGCCTCTCCGGGCTTTGATTTTTGATGCACCTGAATGGCCTGAAGAAGTGTTTCTTCCATAAACTCAATATACTCTCAATGTAATACACCTGATCTATTTCCTTTTCCCACAGGTAATAGCTCCGGTATTGAAACCGTCTTAAAG